TATTAGTTTCCTTTATCAAAAAATGTCAAAAGGTTTAAAATACAGGTGGCCAAACTTTGAGGAAAATGCGTATACCTTAAAAAAGAAGCATAAAAACACATAGAAAAAAAGACACACAACTACCCATAGATTTAAAAAAAAAATTTTTTTTTTACCACAGTTACCTTGCCTGTGCTATTTTTTTTTTTTATTTTAACAGTGAGACAGAAAAAAAGTTGGACAGACAGAGTGAACGAGAGAGAGAGGAAAAGAGAGATCTCTTATTCTCTATGTGGTCATAATAGCTGAAACGACACCAGGTCAAAGCTCATGGATGGCAGAGGACCAAACTTGGGAGCCATCTTCCACCACATTCTCAGGCACATGACAACGACAATGGGCATGACAATGAGCACAACTGCCTGGGCTGTAATGTCCCTACGTAAATATTACAGTGCTGGGAGAAAAGCAACTAGTAGCTGGTGGGCATTCTGGGCCTGGTTGATGCCAAATCTGTGCTAACTATACTACCATGCCAGCATATGTATTTATTCCTTTTTTGTTTAAATGATAAATGGAGAAGCTGGGGAACTCCACTTGGGACATGTTCTTAGTCCCCAGAAAGTTAGTTGCAGTTTGCCTGGGGAAGAGAGTTACATACACATTGGAGCATGAGTGATTGAGGGCATGTTGGACAGGGAAGAATGACTTCTGGGGTTGTAAAACAACTTGGCCACTGTACCAGCAGGAAGACTATTAAAATGGAATGGTTTCAACAGGAAAAACCAGAGGGTATATCCAACTCAGGCCAAGGCATCTGCCCACATGGGAGAGCTGCACTGGACTTCATAGCAACAACTGCTGCTTGCTGGTGCATAAAAGTCTAGTGACAGTGGACATACCTGGATGGCCTAGGCCACAGTAGATCTTTGTGAGTGTCAGAACAGGTATGGGCCACATGTGGAGGGACCACAGAAACCACCAGAACGCAGAAGAACTGGATTTGGGTGTGGAATCACTAGGTGATTATGGGCTCACCTCTTTGGGAGCACAGCACCTGCTGCTTTACATGGAGAGCTGGGGATGGAAAAGGCCAAGACAGGATGGACCACAAGCTCATCTGACAAAAACCCACCTGACACTCACGGGAGCTGGGGTATGAGGAGACAAATTGGGACCAGCACATGCAAGGGACAGGACTAAGAACAGATCATGTCAAGCAGGGCCACAGCCACCACTGGCACATGTGAAATCCAGGGCTTGGAACAGGCCTGGTAGCACATCATAGGGAGCTCCCCTATAAGTCTGCATCAGAATTGGAGCATTGGAATTGGAGCTAGAGGCAGGTCAGGATAGGCCAATCTGCAGCACACATCAGCATTTGTTTGGGTTATTCCTAATCACATGCCGGCACACAGGAGAGCCTGGAGAGATGTGTACTCTGCCAAGCTGAATGGAGTCCATGGATGTGCCAGGTTCAGTTCGGATGAAGCACCTGCCAACGTACACAAGACCCAGGAAATTGTAATGGCCCTAGTAGCAAAACTCTGGGGACATCTTTGCTGGGCTAAAGCTCACACTAGTGAGTGTGAGGGTCAGGATTGTGTGAAGAACATGCTGGGCAAGGCCACAGCACCCACAAGCATGCACCTGGGCTGGTCTGGGGAAGGTCTGTCTGGGATAGGATCCAGCACCCACTAATGCTTGCAGGAGCCATCCTCTGAGGACATATTCAACATCCCACGCTGGCACACAAGAGCTGGCTACCATGACTCCTATGACATCCACTACTCAGGCATCAGCCACTGAGTACACACAGTCCCATCACCTTGTACTCCAGGGTTAGAGTCCTGTAATCTAGTTGGGGAGCCCTCCAAGAAACCTCACCCAGGGTGAGGTTTAAGTCTTATGTACATTAGCCAGGACAGGGTCAATTTAGTCTATCACCTGTAGCAACCAATGGACACAGTGGTGCCCAACCACAATTCCATGTCACCTAATAGTTACTGTGACCCAAGCGAGAGGTACATCCTGGCAGGGAAGTGTCCACAGTTTCCCTTACCAGGCATGTTCCCAGCACCAGATCCTGCACCTACCAGGGTCTTCTACAATCCTGTCTGACATGACTCACACCTAATCCTGGCACTCGCCACCTCGGCTGTGGCCTAGCTCAGCTGGTCTGCACCCTTGAAGGCTATTGTGTTTGCCAGTGAGTATGGTAGCCAGCCCAGCCAGTCTCACACCCTAGCTGCCCAACCTCCAGTCCCAGCTTTCACTCATCCATGGAAACAACAGCCAGCCAGGAAGTCTCCAAAGTTACCCTGCCATGGGTACTCTTAAGCTCATGTCTAATTGTGTCAGCAGGTGATCTAACCCTGTCTGAGATGGTCCAATTGAATAGTGTTATTTACTTTTATTTACTTTTATTTTTAACATATATTTGTCTCTTTAAATTAATTATTCTAAACAGAGATTTGAAAAATATTTTCATTTATTTGCGTTTATGAGAACTAATATGTGTGAACATTGTATTTGCATTTCCTTAAGTATTGTCATATGCAAGTATTGAGAAACATAACTAATTGTTTCTGAAATATTTAATAAATTATTGTAAGCTAGGTCATAAAATATTAACTACAATATATTACTCACAGGCTTAGCAAACAACTAACCACCATATTCAACAAGTAAAAATTCGAGAAGTCACAGTTTCCCAGGAGTAGAAACAACAATCAAATCTCAGGATTCGCTTTCCATTTCTACATTATTTTTGTATTCAGCATTAATTACATCTTACTAGGAAAAAGGCATGATGATTGTTTTAGGGGAACTGGCTTGTCTCACTAAGCAAAATATTTTAAGGTGAGAAACTAAATGTCAGCTATTTGTGATTGTCGCAGGGCGGGATGAAGATAGAGAGGATTCACCTGAGTCCATCATGGTCTCTTGGGAAACACCTGCAAGGAAACAGCGTTCTGTCATGGCCAGAGTCCCTCAGGGCCAGCAGGTGCTTAGAGGTCAGAGAGCTGTCCAATACGCAGGTACCAGGAGCTGTAAGTAGCTCCTCTGCTGTGTTCCCTCAGACTGTGCAACCTTGGGCTAGAAGCAGCCCGTCTATGGCATTTGGGTTCCTGAAACTGGCTCAGGGACCAGTGCTTCCCTCCTCTCCTCTGCTGTGTCTGGGACGGAGCTTCAGTCTGCAGCATCCACCATCCAGGGAGGAATTTGGGCGTCTATACAGCCACCTTCTTCCCGCAGTTCTCATGCAGGTGAGCTTGGCAGTCATGACAAGAGGGGTCCCAGGTTGTGGGCACAGACAGCCTTCCTTGGGATTAAGCAAGAACTGAACTAACCTAACTAACACCTCCCGGAAGATATGGAGTTCTTTTGTATTTAACTAATGAATGCATTTGTTTGTGATTTTCGAAATGCAGGAAAATTTGCCTTTCCTAGGACAATAGTCATTAAAGGTACTGAAAAGAAATTATGGAAAGATTAATTATAATAGACAATGGGAGGCATTAGTTACCTAGGGTACCTATAGCCAACTTTGCAGCATTTGGAGATCTGGGGCAGTAGAGAAGGAGTTTTCCATGTGGAGGGACACGTGTGAAGTCGTATCACTTTTCCAGGGCAAGGGACCTTGGTGATTTACCACTTGAAACTGATTAAATACAAGGTTATCGAAACTCCTGGCCCTGGAATAACTTCTGTAGACTGGAACATCATCTTACACATTTGGGTTGTGAATTAAGAGGGGGTTTAACAGACTATCCTAATATTGACAGGAAAGGTCCAGCAGAAAGTAAAAGCTTGTATGGAAAACCTGATGGTAGCAGTTACTTGAACACTCATATTGGCAGGGTCTTCTGTCTTCTCTCACAGACTGCTCTCACATGATTTAATGTTAATGTACAGTAAGAAGAACTCTTTCAAAGACACCTGCATCAGAGTTATTACATCACGTGTTTGTTGGATATACACAATTGTTTCCAGCCACTGGTTTTTTCTCCTCACTTTCAGTGCTTTCTTGGTGTGCTACCAGGTGAGAGAGTTTTATTTCTCTCTTTATTGTCTTCTTAACCTACAAATTTGGCCATTGTCAACACTTTATTTTCTGCCATAGAGTCCTTTGATGCCTACTTAAGTATACTTCAGCGCTATGAAAAATATATTATGAAAGTAAGTTGTCATGTTGCAAAATGACACAAAAATATCCTAATCCATACTTAGGAGAGGTGATCAAAATTTGGAGAACTCTCCCTTTTGCAAAGCCATGCATAAAAAGAATACATCTGTTAGATGCATTTCCCCATTTATTTTGATGGACCTTTTTCGTAAGTTAAGAGGACATGTAAAAGCTTATATTTTTTTCTCTTGTCAAAAATCATAAACACATCCTGGTTTCAAACCAAACTATTATTAATTCTACAAAAATTTGGTGCTGCAAGCTGAGTCTTAATTAGTCAGTTATATATATTTTTATGTATATACACAGGTATAAAACTTATATAAATATATGTATTACAACCTGCTTCAAGTTAAGCTCTTCTTATCATTTAGCGTGCTTTGTGATTCCTTTTTGTTTAGCGTGATTGAGTCATTTACTCAATTCGTAACCTCTGATTTCAGTTGCACCATGTGGTTGAAGATCATTTCATCTTTCATAAGCAGAGTTGAAACCCATTCAGTTAAGATCCTTGGAACCCCACATCTTCCTATGGTCTAGTTCATATATGTAATTGGAAATTCAATGGTGAGTTGATAACCACTGAGGAAAAGATGTTTCTCCACTGGTTAAAAAATATCACATTATATGTGAGAAGTATTTGAGGTTTTGGGGAAGGATTGAGTGTGAGTCTGAATTCTAATTCAGTGATCCCACTGTGAAGGAACAAAACAGACCTGAGCCATCTCGAAATGTATGAGGTATAGTCTGACATTTTGAATTTCAGCTCTGTTGGTTAAGTCTATTGTGAATGAATATGAGTCTAGTTAAACTACTTCTTCCTGATAGTGACATGCACTACATGGAGCTGAGAAATCAAACTCCATTTGCAGAATTCCTTCTCCTGGGATTCTCAGAGGACCCAACCCTCCATCCTTTCATCTTTGGACTGTTCCTCTCCATGTACCTGGTCACTGTAAGTGGGAACCTGCTCATCGTCCTGGCCATCCTCTCAGACACCCACCTGCACACACCCATGTACTTCTTCCTATCCAACCTGTCCTTGGTGGACATCTGCTTCACCTCTACCACTGTCCCCAAGATGCTGGTGAACATCCAGATGCAAAGCCAAGCCATCAGCTATGCAGGCTGCATCACACAGATGTTCTTCTTCATCATTTTTGCAGTTCTGGATGACTTTCTTCTGGGCGTGATGGCTTATGACCGGTTTGTGGCCATCTGTCACCCCCTGCACTATATAGTCATCATGACCCCCTGGCTCTGTGTGCAGCTGGTTCTGTTGTGCTGGGTCATTGGTGTCCTGCATGCCTTGTTTAACAGCTTACTGGTGCTGAGACTGAGCTTCTGCACACACCTGGAAATCCCTCACTTTTTCTGTGAGATAAATCAGGTGGTCCATTCTGCTTGCTCTGACACCTTTCTCAATGACATCATGATGTATTTTGCAGCTGTGCTGCTGGCAGGAGGTCCCCTGGCTCTGATTCTGTACTCCTACTCTATGATAGTCTCCTCCATCCGAGCCATGTCGTCAACTCAAGGCAAGTATAAAGCCTTTTCCACCTGTAGCTCTCACCTCTTGAGCATCTCTCTATTTTATGGAACAAGCATAGGTGTGTACCTCAGTGCCAATGCTGCCCCAAGTTCAGCCTCAACTGCAACAGCCTCAGTGATGTACACAGTGGTGACCCCCATGCTCAACCCCTTCATCTACAGCCTGAGGAACACAGAGATGAAGAGGGCTCTGAAAAGACTGTTGTTCCATAAATGATAGTGGAACCCACGGTGTTGGTGTTGGTGTCCTGACAGTGATTTCATGCCTCAAGCCTCAATGTTAGACATCATGATGAATTTATCAGAGGAGGAAGCAGAGCTTGCTTAGTCTGTTCACTGTATTTTTTTTTATTACTTTTTAATCATTAACTGTTCTGTGCACAAGGCAAATGAATGATCACTTCATTCATTGTGTGTTATCTCTGCTAGCACATAATTTCTTTCTGATATTTCTTATTTTCCCATCTTTCATGTCAACGATGTTTCAGAAATGCAAAAGGATACATAAATTTCATGGAGAAATGGAGGTGATTTAGGAGGCAGGTGTATGTGCTAAACATTGAATCCCATGTGTATTTTTTACAGTGCATATACTGCTTTTACATTTCATTATTTTATTGTTTATTATTATTTTTTAACTACCATTTAAAGTTGCCTTTTGTACAACTGGCCTATTTCAGTTTTTCGAATGTTTTCAGTTGCACTAGATTTTTTGCAAAAAGGTAAGATTTCATTATTTTAGTTGCTGGTTGGTAATCTATTTTATATGTGTAGCAGATATCTGTCGATGGAATGTTAATTAGCAAAACAATTACACATGCTCCTGAATTGTTCAACATGAAGTATGCAGAACTGAAATGTCCACATTTCTCATGATATGATTTCTTGTGGAATAACATGATGTGACACTATTCCTTGCTCTCCTTCTTAGCTGTCAGTTTAGTTTTTAGATTAGAATGATTCTAGTATTGTGCTTGCATGTTCTAATCAGTCCAGCTAAAAAATGTACATTTTGCACTTTTTTATATGTGATGGTAATATACAACACCCACAAAAAGCCACAATGTGTAAGAATGAAATTACGACCAGTTCACTGCACATGCTGTCAGACAAGGGAACCACAGCTGTATGGCTGATCCAATGGCAGTTTTTGGGGGGTCATTTTTCTGGATCACTCTTCCCTCTGTGGTACATGAGGGCTGAGCTTCTCTTGAGCAGGACTAGACATGGCCACAGCTCCCACTGGTTTGCCCACCATAGAGGGCAGAACAAATTGATCAACTATCCCAGCGAAACTTAACAGCAAATTTCTGGGCCAAAGGAGACTCAGAGGCAATCAAGCTCAGAAAGATTTCCTCATTCTTGGAGAGGAAATGCAAGCAGCATCTCAGAAGTATCAAACACAAATGAACAGAACCCTCAGAAAATGCTCCACAATGGGGACCCTGGGATGACACTGATTGACAGTTCCACAATTCTCAGGGTAATGTGGCAGCTGGGAGGCTGGGCGTGGTGTCTCCTCATATCCATCTCCTCCATCTACAGGGAGAGGAAGAAGAAACGGTCTAAACAAGGGTTGCATCCACTACTCTAATCTTCAACTCTTCTCACCCTGATCAACTATAAACACATCAATAATAAAATAAAAAAAAATTGAAACTGGCATTTGGTGATTTGCTGATTTTTTTTTAAAGATTTATTTTTATTATTTTTTTATTGGAAAGGCGGATATACAGAGAGGAGAGACAGAGAGGAAGATCTTCCGTCCGATGATTCACTCCCCAAGTGAGCCGCAACGGCCGATACTATGCTGATCCGAAGCCAGGAGCCTCTTCCGGGTCTCCCACGCGGGTGCAGGGTCCCAAAGCTTTGGGCTGTCCTCGACTGCTTTCCCGGGCCACAGGCAGGGAGCTGGAAGGGAAGCGGGGCTGCAGGGATTAGAACCGGCGCCCATATGGGATCCCGGGCGTGCAAGGCGAGGACCTTAACCACTTGCGCCACCGCGCCGGGCCCTGCTGATTTTTTTAATCAGGAAATTATCCTGCTTGGTTATATTTGTATATATTGCTGTAGAGCAGTAGTCTTTCTGCATTTTTCTTGTCATTGTGGCTATGATTATATAGTTGAAATTACATTACTGATAAAAATTAAAGAAAAAAGGAAGGGGGTATTGAGGCAGGAATATATAGCAGATTTCTTAGATTTTTATTTATGAAATACATGACACCTGTTCTGTTTATAGCCCTAATTTTTAATAATTAATTTTATTTTACTTGATGTAAACCTGGTTGATAAAAGGGGGGTAGGACAAGCATTAGGGAAAAGTGGGTGTGACCTTTGCTTTTGAATTTTCTATTTCTCTTTCTGTTTCAGAGGGTGGGGATATAATGGAACAAGCCATACCCAGGCTCCCAACCACCCCTGTACCCAGGGTTGGGCAAACACCACCCAGTACCAACACAGGTCCCATTGTGAAACACACTCTGAGTCTTGAGCAGGTGGTATTGACCGTTCTGAGATGTTGACCATCTCACCAATCCAAGTACGATGGAGGTTTTTCAGTGTCCTTTAGCTGGCATAGTCACCTCAGAGTCTCCATTCGCTCAGATATATACTGGCATCATTTGGCTGCATCAGTTATCCAATTTGTTCTGTTTTCCTTCCCCTGGCTTAGTACAGATGCTCCCTGCAGTGCTCAGTGAGCTGTAATATCTTCCATGTGGATCTGGGCCAATGTCCGCTACTCTGTCTTTTTTGCTATGGAGGATGAGTTCTTACAGATAGGCCAAAGGCCCAAGCCAGTTGGTCCAAGACACACCACACCAACACCCACATAGCTCAGAGAACTGGCAACCAGAATGCAGGTGGGCCAAGAACCCATGCAAGGTGAGTTGAACCACTTGGCCCCCACAAACCCACTGCCTAGAGACCCAGCAACCACCTTGTAGGCAGGCCAAGAACCCAGGCCAGGTGACAAGAACCCCACTGGCTTCCCCACCGCTAAACCTAGAGAAAAATATCCACCAGGTAGGCAGGCAAAGAACTCAGGCCAGGTGACCCAAACCCTTCTGGAACCCCCTGCCACAACACACACGTCAGAGATCAAGGATCTGATAGCCATTATGCAGGCAGACCTAGAACCCCTGCCAGATCCCAAACTCCCAGGATTCATGGAACCAGCACCCACTGTGCAGACAGGGTAAACCTGGAGCAGATGACCCAGATCCACTGGTACCCCATGGACGAGGCACCTACCATGCAGGAAGGACAAAGCATCAGACTTGGAGACCCAGGTTTCACTGGATTCCCTGCTCCTGGAGCTCACAGATACAACATCCACCACAGAGCTGGGCCAAGGACCCAGAACAGGCAAAACAAACACTACCATATCCAACACACCCAAGGCTGATGGACCCGCACCAGCCACACAGTAGGCCAAGAACCTGAGCCAGGTGACCCAGTTCTGCTTGGAACCCTATTCCCACTTTTCACAGATTTGGCAAGTACTGCACAGTTAGGTAAAGAAACTGAGCCAGGTGACCTGAACCCCACCTGATCCCCCAACCTGGCTTTTGCCCAGCACCCGCCACTCATGTAATTCAATATTGTTCTCCTTGGTACTGGGATAGAAATTTTGGGTAAAGCTCTGTTTCTTCCTTGGAGCTTTAAGTAATCTTCCTACTCATAGTAGGGCCATACATTACTAGAAACCTGTCCTTGGGCCCAGCACTATAGCTTTGCAGCTGAAGTCTTCAAATTGATCGCACCAGGATCCCATATGGGCCCTGCTTCCCATCCAGTTCCCTGCTTGTGACCTGGGAAAGCCATAGAGGACATCCAAAACCTTTGGGACCCTGTACCCATCTGGGAGACCTGGAAGAGCATTCTGGCTCCTGGCTTCGGATCATCACAGCTCCAGCCATTGTGGCCGCTTTGGGATGAATCAACAGGCAGAATATCTGTCTCTCCTCCTATCTGTATATCTGACCTTGCAATATAAAATAAATAAATCTTTAAAAAATATATTAGTTTTCTTTATCAAAAATGTTAAAAGTTTTAAAATATAGGTGGCCACTCTTTAAAAATAATTTGTGTGCCTAAAAAAGAAGCATACACACAGACACACACAAGTCCACATAGATTTTCAAAATATTTTTTTACCAGGGTTAACTTTCCTGCATTAAATGTTTTTCTGTTTTTTATTTAGATTAAGGTAGAAAAGAGTTAGAGTGAATGAAAGAGACAGATTTGATGTTCCCTAATCTTCATAACAGCTGAAATGAGAGCAGGTCAAAGCACATGGATAGCAGATGCCCAAACATACAAGCCATCTCCCACCACTTTCTCAGGCTCATTACAGGGACAATGGGTCAGATGTGGAGCTCAACTGCCTAGGCTACCTGGTCCCAAGCAATTATTACGATGCTTAGAGAAAAGCAGCTAGTAGCTGGTGGGCATTCTGGGCCTGGTTATGCGAAATCTGTGTTAACTAGAACACTATGTTAGCAGAGTTGATTATTCATTTTTATTCATTTTTTTCTCTTTTTAAAATGATAAGTAGAGAAGCTGGAGAACTCCAGGATGGGACATGGCCGAAGTCCAGCTCCAGCCGAGTTTGGAGCTCGGGAAGGGTGCATGGAGCCTGCGGTAAAGAAAGACACAGACACAGACACTTGATGCATTCTCACAACAGCTCAAGAAAAAGCTGTCCTTTTTTATTTTCTCAAAACCCCTCTCAAGCTTCTATACAAGCAACTGATTGTTCTATTTTTTTTACTTCAAGACTAGAGGGGCATGTACAGACGTCTGCACTTCAAGGCTAAGCAGGTGCCCCTAAAGATAATTCTACAAAATACTGTATTCATATTCTTCAAAGGAAGCTATTGTTTATTCTTCAACAGTAGCCATGGAGCAACAGCCAGGACTCCAAGGCCAAGGCACATGTGATTACCTGCTAATCAGTAGTACATTCCCACCACATTTCTACTTCCACATTTTACTCATCATTTAATGGGAAGATAAGTTACAAGGGAAAAACCTAAAATCTAAAACAGAAACTTCAAATGTTAAATCTCCCTACAACTATAGACTCCTACAACCCCATAAAAATAAAGCAATAATCAAAAGCATTTTCTTTAATAAAAGCATCCTTAATTCCTCTAGCTAAAAATTATAAAAGCGGCTAAAACAGTTGCATTTTCTATGCTCCAAAAAATT